TTGATCAGTTTTCAGCTTCCTTTCTTTGATTCTGATTATATTCCTCTAGGGATGTTAACAGATAGTAATGAAATACTATTCTCCACCTGGTAAACCCACCCTTTACAGCTCATCTCAAATGCCACCTCCTAACTCCCCATGTTCTTCTATATCACTCTGTATATGTCAACACTCATCATACTGCACTATGGTTAATTCTTTGGGGAAGGTGGGACCATTTCTCAATCATCATTACATCTTCTCTGACACACCAGCCTCCCAAATTCAACCAAGCACCCAATATAATGCCTAGCAAATAGAAAGATTCACTAATTATTCTTTTTAATTAAAGGGAGTCATAGCAAAAATTGTAATAAGCTTCCTCTGTGTCTATAAATAAAAAGAATTTGTGTTCATTCGTGATGACTAATGGTAATTTTATAAAATATCTTCTCATTCTAGAAACTATGAAAAGCAAATCTCTTTCAGCCAACATAGGAACCATTTATATGGAAACTTTTGAGCAAAGTATTTATCCCCAGAAGGAAGTGGGAGTGAGGTAGTACAGGGAAAGGGGCAATAACAAGATTGGGAAAAAAGAAGATGCAAAAGGACCGTCTGAGAGAGAAGGAAACGAGATGGAAGTAGTCACATCCCATTAGAGGGTGCAGTGTTGACCTAATGATTACATTTTTTAGTACCATCCCATGGACTGCCTTCCTGAGTCACCATTTGGCCATGGTAGAGGTAGGAACAATAAAGATAGGCAATCAGTGAGTTGCTAGTACTCGGTCCTGGGCATTTGCTCATTGTTGTTAGAAGACAGCTGTGTTATGCCTTTGACTTGCGCCACCTGATTATGATACTTGTAAATAGTCCCTCTATCGTACCTCCCTTTCTCTAACTTGGTCTCAGCCTGCAAGAACAATTTTATTTTCAAATCTACAAATAAGTAAGTGGTACCTTGAATTTGTAAGGCTGGGCAGTTCTAATGAACTGAGAATGTAGTGTGCTTTCTGCAGTTTCATTTCTGATTCCTGAGGGGCGTCTCCAGTGAAGAGGGGGCTGGGATAGGCTTTGAGCAATGCTGGTCACTCTCTGGCATATCATTTTATTTTTAAAATAAAAGAAAAAGGGAAAAAGAAGATTATAGTGGTAACAATTAACATTTTATTTCTAGACAATAATGAAAACTAAATATAATACTGTGTCCTACCAAATATCCAATAGTTCTGTCTCTGATCCATGATTAGATTAACTGCTCACCCAATAAGAACCTCTCATGATCTCCTTATGAAGCACACTGTTATTCCTACCATTTTAGAGAACATGCTCTTTTGTTCCCTATTATATATCTGCATTCCTTCTCTATGTGGAAATTCCATTAGAATCAATGGATGTTCTATATCTGGAACAAGTTCAGAATAGGCAATAAAGATTCACAGTTCTGATAAGAAAAAGTTCCCATTCACAAACAGCTCCAAGGTTAAGGTTAAGTTAGAAAGTTACGGAATTTCTCTAGGTGTTGCATAATATCACCTCTGGAATTCCTGGGGCTAGGCCCAATAACAACATAATTCATTGCTTATCAGCATGAAGCTTTCATCAATGAGAAACAAAACCAAAAGAAGCATTCTTGAAGGGACGGACATAAAAATTTATGATACAAACCATAGGCTTTGAACTGCTTTATTTATTTATTTATTTTTAGTTTGTGTTTTACGGATATAAATTAGACATAGAAGTGACCTGGTCTAGACTTTTTAAAGATAATATTCAAATTATTATCATTATCATTGTGATATAGAATTACAGTATCATTAGTAATAATCATAATGACTATTATTGTTGACAGCTACTCTATACACTCTGTGCACCAGGAATATGGTTTTTCAGGCATTATTTTATTTAATCCTTTTGATAAATTTGTGAAAGTAGTATTGCATTATTATTGCCATTTTATAGATGAGGAAACTGACACAGAGAGGTTAAGTTTCTCGCTCAAGATTACACAGCTATTACCTACCATTACTAAGATTCAGTCCCAGATCTCTCTGACTCCAAACCATGTATTTGTAACTGTTATGATCTAGTTTACTAAGTAACACAGTAAACTCTATACCCTTCACTAGCAAATAATCAGAGTAATGGGTAATTTCCCACCCATTTCTAGAAAGGGCATTAGGGGAACTCGCCTAGCATGCTGCCCACTGCCTGCACCAAGGCCACAGTCAGCCCTCATCCCGCCGCCGGTAACCTCTTGCAAGGTATACTTCGTGTAAATGAAGGAGCTGACTCCTCAGGTGTACCCCCCATGCCTTTGAAATTTCAATACCAAACACTGTCTCTGTGAGATTTGGTTTTCCTTTCGTTTCAATTTTTCACTTCCTAAAGCCAAATCGAGCTTTCACTTTCACCTGATTCTTTCTAAATAAAGGTCATAGCTTGCTATTCCAGACTCTTCCTATGATCTTATCCCAAACCACCTTTCAAGTTTCATCCCTTACAACCTTCTGGTGCTTCCACGGAGACAAAGGTGTCCCTGTCGCTGGAAAGCACAGCCGACGTCCACAGCGTTGTGCTTTCCACTGCTCCTGCTCCCCTCTCAACCAAAAATGTCCCAAACCGACCTTTTCTAACACCTCCATTATCTTCTAATGAGAACTAGTCTCTTCAGTTTACTGATCTGTAACGGCAATTTTAAGAAACAAGCAATATTTTCTCTGCTAATCCACTAACCAGTCTAAATTTACATTCCCAGACTTGCAAAACTGATGGAAAATAAAAGATGTAAAATATGTGCTTTTAAGTACATTCTGCATGCATCTTCCAATATAAGCCCTACCCACTGGTCCCCAGTTTGTCATCTCCAGACTTTGGACTATTAGGAGTTTGTAGATCTAATCCTGTTAAGCTTTTGACTTCCATATTTTCGAAAGAAAAAGATAAGAACTGGTCATCTCTCCCTCTAACCTTTCTCATCATCTTACTTGTATGTCAATATAGTACATATTGTATCCTGTTTTGCACTAGGGCTAGTTATTCATGAATCTGTTGCCTCTAAAAGTTTCTAAAGTCCTGATCTTTCTGTCCATCCCAGACCAGCACACTAGCATTTAAGCACAGTACTTTACACGTAGCAGATACTCAATAAATGTAGTTAAACAGAAGATCCATTTTAGAAGCTACTGTCATCTGAACTTCCCAAGCCATTTTTCTAAAAGTATTACTCCTAGTTATCCTGAATTTTAATAGGGTATTTTTCATTTACGCTACCTTACGTTTCCTGTAGAGGTTGTTGTAGAGGGTTCTGAAATGTTTCCTAGTGTAGCTGCTGCGATACGCTCCACCAATGAGGTACTCTATTACCAATCCAATGTCAACCAGTGTTATCTTATAGTCTGAGAGAAGGGCATGCTGAAACAAAAACACGTAACGAATTATAACTTTCAATTCTCTTTTTCTGTCTCCTGTGCTGTGCCATTATAACATAATCAAATCAACTGCAAAGAGATAGACTCATACTTTTGAATCATCTGTACAAACTGATCAATTAATATGACCAGCTATTGGTACAATCTGCTTGTTCAGATGGAAAAGGATATTAACCATATTACGGTTTTAGTTTCATAGACTTTGAATGTCTGCTTATATCTGCTCATTCATTCTGTTCCCTCTCTCTCTCTCATTCATACACATAAGTTAGAATAAAATACATTTAAATATACCATAAAAGATTGTTTTTAGGGGCCAGCTTGGTGGTCTATAAGTTAAGTTCGAACATTCTGCTTTGGCAACCTGAGGTTCGCTGGTTCAGATCCCGGGTGCGGACTTGGCACCGCTTGGCAAGCCATGCTGTGGTAGGCGTCCCACATATAAAGTAGAGGAAGATGGGCACAGATGTTAGCTCAGGGCCAGTCTTCCTCAGCAAAAAGAGGAGGATTGGCAGCAAATGTTAGCTCAAGGCTAATCTTCCTCAAAAAAAAATAAATAAAAATAAATTTTAAAAATAAACAAAAAAGATGATTTTCAACTGGATATGACACAACTATTACAACAGAAGTAAAATTACTGAAGGTTATAATGAAGGTATGTGATCCAGAATTACCACTGTATTAAATCTTCAGCCTCTCTCTTTAATGAAATGGCTATAACACTGGACCGTCTTGACTATATCATGCATAGGACACGAATATGTAAGGAAGTAGAACAAATAAAAATAAGAAACACAGAACAGCAGAATCAAATGAGACATCAAAACACAAGGCTGTGCCAAGACAAATGTTAGGGTTGGTAGGAGGGCTGAGCATCAGATTTCCAAGTACATGGACCTTAGTCTAAATAAAAATTATTTGGACCCCTTAAAATCAACCTTACTACCTCTTCATAACTGTTACTTCTGAGCTGCCATCCACAGTACATTTTTAAAGGCACACAGAGTGCTGAACAAGATCTTTAAAGTGAACAGACAGTGAATAGCCTTCACAAAGCTTTGACTAAGAAATAAGGTTATACACACACACACACACACACAAATGTAAATGATTTAATTTCTCTTTACTTTTTTCAAGGAACACCAAAAATAATACTCTTATTTGCTGCTAATTAAAAGCATATTTATGAAGGCCAGGCCCGTGGCCAAGTGGTTAAGTTCACACAATCCACTTCGGCAGCCCAGAGTTTTACCGGTTCGAATCCTGGACACAGACATGGCACTGCTCATCAAGCCATGCTGAGGCAGTATCTCACATGCCACAGCTAGAAGGACCCACAACTAAAAATACACAACTACGTACCAGGGGGCTTTGGGAGAAAAAGGAAAAATAAAATCCTAAAAAGAAAAAGCCTATTTAACATATTTCATTCCTTTTTCTTCAGTTTACTGTGATAGAATCAGAGTTTAAGGAAATAATCTAAGGAAAATCATTTTGATTTAGCATGACTCAATGCAAACTAAATTTACATCACCATGGACACTTTTGCTTACTACTAATTTGCCAACTCAATGTCTTCCTCTGCAGTCCTTTCACTCTGGTTCTCCCACCAAGTCAACACAACCAGAAGGCCCACACTCTCTCCATCAAGATAACAGACTTCAGAAAAATGAGCGACGAACTTTTTAAATGTGCTGTAGATGGATTTTAATCATGGTGATAAAAAAAAGGCACCCCCAGTCTTCTGCAGATGTGAACAAAAGTTCTTGGTAATTAAAAAAGAAAGAATTAAGGCATAAGAGTCTGTGATAATTGGGAAGTTTTGGTAACTAATGGGGGATCAGATGATTTTATTTTAAGTCTGACTTAGAAGTTCAAGGAGAACACCATGAGCAGACTACGAGGAAGCGTATAAAGTGATGGGCTTCATCCTGGCTCCCTAGAACAAAGGTTAGCCTCACTAATGAAGTAACAGAGCCCCCAAGTTATCACAAATATTCAAAACAGCAATATTGAGAACAATGGAAATCACTTATTAGTCCTGCGATAAAGACAACAGAACCAGGAAGTTTCTTTATTTTCAGCAGGTATTATTATCATCATTGGCAGTATGGTTACATCATGTTGAGCTGAAGTTCTGATGGAAGTTCTGATGGAATTCATGTTTTCATTAGAGAAAAATTACTAGCTAATGCTACTTACTTGGTGGATCACATCTTTACAAATATAAAGTAAATTATAGGAAAAAATGTGTGGTTTGGTGATAAAATTGTTCAGTCACGAGTAAAGAGGGTAGATAATTCACTAGAAAATCCATATCTACATTTTATGAAGCAAAATCTGGCAACATCTCCATCCCAAAGCTGAGGCAATACACAAAGAAATTTGCACACCTTCATAATTAGTTTACCTGCTTTACATCTTGAACAAGATGATGCAAGAGCATATTAGTAGGTCCTTGTTTCTGTAACAAAGAACAAAAGAAAGAATTATTCCTTTTAATTACCGTGTGCTAGGAGAAACAAAAAACAACTTTATTTCAGAATACATAAACAACTCAGAGTACTGAAAATTTTCAAGGTCTTTAGTAATGAAGCTAAAGCCAAATTAATTCTAAGGACAGTATTTCCCAAGAGACGCTGTCATTAGACTGAAATATTTTTCAAAGCAAGATATATATATGTAGGCAGTAAGAACTTAACTTATTTTTTAAGAATCAGAAATAAATTTTAAGTAATTTATAACTAACCTTTATCATATATAAATTACACAATTACAAATCCCATCACACAATTACATTCTATCAAAAAATATTTATTGAACACTTACTACGTGTTTCCAATTAAGCTTTTGAAGATTCAATGAAGATTCTAAGTGCTTTCTTCACAGAGCTTTACAATCTAATAGAAGAGAGTGGGCACTTACACTAAAAAATAACCAACAATATGAAGATGTGTGTGCTCAAAAAGACTTGTGAATAATTTGTACTACAGGGACAGATGACTGTGAACTGCAGTAATTAAGGAGACAGAACTTGAACAGGGCTTTGAAAAAAGGGTAAGATTCAAAGGGCAAGGAAGGACATTTCAAGAAGGTTGCATGGCTTCAGCAATTGGTGTTTTCACAATGAGTAAGCCAGTCTAGTTTCCATAAAAGGTTTGCATAGGAAAACAGCAGGAATAGAATGTTAATGATGGCCTTAGGTTGAGATGTTCCTAATGCTTCAATAAAAGCAATTTGTTCTTATCCACATCTTTGGCTTTTTTTTTTTTCATTGAGTTATTGATAGGTTACAATCTTGTGAAATTTCAGTTGTACGTTAATGTTTGTCAGTCATGTTGTAGGTGCACCACTTCACCCTTTGTGCCCACCCCCCACCCCACCTTTCCCCTGGTATCCACTAAACTGTTCTTAGTCCATAATTTTAAATTCCTCATATGAGTGGAGTCATACACAGATTATCCTTCTCTCGCTGGCTTATTTTACTTAACATAATTCTCTCAAGGTCCATCCATGTTATTGCAAATGGAAGGATTTTGTTCTGTTTTGCAGCTGAGTCGTATTCCATTGTATACATGTACCACATCTTCTTTATCCATTCATCTGTTGCTGGACACTTAGGTTGCTTCCACGTCTTGGCTATTGTAAAGAGTGCTGCAATAAACACTGGGGTGCACAGGACTTTTGGGATTGCTGACTTCAAGCTCTTCAGATAAATACCCAGTAGTGGGATGGCTGGATCGTACGGTAGTTCTATTTTTAATTTTTTGAGGAATCTCCACACTGTTTTCCATAGTGGCTGCACCAGTTTGCATTCCACCAGCAGTGTATGAGGGTTCCTTTTTCTCCACAACCTCTCCAACATTTGTTGCTATTAGTTTTAGATATTTTTGTCATTCTAGTGGGTGTAAGGTGATATCTTAGTGTAGTTTTGATTTGCATTTCCCTGATGATCAGTGATGATGAGCATCTTTTCATGTGCCTATTGGCCATCAGTATATCTTCTTTGGAGAAATGTCTGTTCATGTCTGCAGCCCATTTTTTGATTGGGTTGTTTGATGTTTTGTTGTTGAGTTGCGAGAGTCCTTTATATATTATGGATATTAAGCCTTTGTCAGATATATGACTTGCAAATATTTTTTCCCAGTTAGTGGGTTGTTTTTTTGTTTCAATCCTGTTTTCATTTGCCTTGAAGAAGCTCTTTAGTCTGATGAAGTCCCATTTGTTTATTCTTTCTTTTGTTTCCCTTCTCTGAGAAGGCATGGTGTCCGAAAAGATCCTTTTAATACTGATGTCAAAGAGTGTACTGCCTACGTTTTCTTCCAGAAGCCTTATGGTTTCAGGTCTCACCTTTAGGTCTTTGATCCATTTTGAGTTTATTTTGGTGAATGGTGAAAAAGAATGGTCAATTTTCATTCTTTTACATGTGGCTTTCCAGTTTTCCCAGCACCATTTGTTGAAAAGACTTTCTCTTCTCCATTGTATGCCCTCAGCTCCTTTGTCAAAGATAAGCTGTCCATAGATGTGTGGTTTTATTTCTGGGATTTCAATTCTGTTCCATTGATCTGTGCACCTGTTTTTGTACCAGTACCATAAAAATATGGAACTCTTCACGAATTTGCGTGTCATCCTTGCGCAGGGGCCATGCTAATCTTCTCTGTATCGTTCCAATTTTAGTATACGTGCTGCCGAAGCGAGCACCACATCTTTGGCTTTAATGATGGTCTTACTATCATATTTTCTTAAATGAGTTTATATTTCTATTCTGACTAATTAACTAAAATGGCAAACACAGAAATGACCAAAGGCTAAAATGGATTTGGTAAGAATGTTTCTCCTTTGGTTAAAAAGTCGGTCTCTCTACAAGCTCTTTGTACATGAACATTCAAGGAGACTTGAACATTCAACATTTAGCTTAAGCTAAATCTTAAGCTAATTAATAAATAAATCTTAAGGGAGGTGATTGATGAAATGTTCCAGTACTCACTGTATTATAGAGCTCTTCCAGTCGGGGGATGGTAAGAAAGCGATGGAGGTTCACTCCATATTCTATTAAGAGCTTCACAAAATCTACCCGATCCATCACTAAAGCATCTAACATTGCTTGTTCCAGGGAGCCAGGCTTCAGAGGGCAGACACAAATAAGAGACAGAGAAACTTTTAAGAAAACAGAAAGAACTAAAGAATTACAATGTATTTGAACTCAAAATTATACAGACACAATAACTATATAGTACAATCTTACTAAGCAACGTTCAGGACCTGAGTGCAGAAATAACAAAAAGTGAACTTGAAGGCATAAAAAACATCTTGAAAAAAATCTGTTCTTGGATGAGAGGACTGACTATTGTAAATATCTCAATGCTTCCCAAATTAATGTACTGGTTTAATGCAATTCTAATAAAATTCCAAGGTTTCTTTTTTTTTGGGTAACCTGGTATGTTTTCATTTAGGCTTTACCTGGTTTATGAAGATAAATGGCAAATTAAACACACTCATCTACTTTTACTCCTACCTAAAACTTCACTAAAATTATCGCAAAGGGATTTTTTTCTTTTTTAAGAAGTGAAGTCACAAGAACAAGGAGGTCAAGGGCGCAACATTTTGGAAGTTGGAAAGCATATGGTCAAGCGGTGATTGACTTAGCAGTCCCCAGAAAGCCAATAGTGAAACTGGAAAAAGTCAAGAACCAAACGAATCTATGCCACAGAATTCTGGCAGCACCGGGATAAAATGGATGCACACGTGCTGAATTCCTAAGCTTGGGAGCTTCCCAGTCATCTTCCCCCATTTCACTTCCGCAACACCAGCGGCAAGGCTTTTACCTTTCAGGCAGGGAGCTGGAGGATTCTGATATGGTAACGTGACTAACACAACAGAAAAGACATGAATATGCCAACATCTCAGGTCCTCCAACAAATGGCAGCCAGATCACCCCAATGTGAAGGCCCAACCTCCAGGCTCAGAATTGCTAAGGAGCTTTCTATCCTCCTCTCTTAAACAAAAAGTCCAGAACAACTAGACCAAAAACACCAGCTGGGAGGAATCAGACAAAACAGAAAGAAGAAAACTTCAAAAGAATTATCATTAACATCCTCAGAGAAATAAAAGAAGACACTGTATTCAGGATGCTATTATTTTTTTTTAAAAAAAAAAAGGACAAAGAACAAATTTGCTCTTAGAAATTAGTACATAGGATGCTATCAGAAGCACAAAGCTACATACAAGGCATGAAAGTTAAAGTTGGGGAAATCTACCAAAGAAAAGATATGGAAGATAAGAGGGAAAAGATAATATTAGAGAAGCAGTCCATAGGTCCAAGATTTAAATAATAGGAATTCCAGAAAAAGAACAAAGAAAACAGGGGAGGAAATTCCCCAGAATGGAAATATATGGTTGCCAAGTTGAAAGCAGGTGCCCAGGGTAATGCATATAAAGACTCACAACAACACACATTATTGTGAAAAGTCAGAAGACCAGAAAAAGAGATTTTTGAAACTTCCAGAGAGGGAAAAAATAGTCACAAAGTACCGGAAAACAGAAAGATGTTTACTTCTCAAAGCAACCCTGAGTGTTGGAAGCTAGTCATTCAAAATTCTCAAGGAAAATTAGTTCCAATCTTGTATTAAAATATCTCCAAACATGTAAATTTTCAAAATTTTTGTCTCTCATATTCTCTTTCTAAGAAAGTTACTGAAGGATGCATGCCATCAAAATAAAGGAGTAAACCAAGAAAAAGAAAGACATGGATACAGAAAACAGACACTCTAACACAAGAGAGAACCCCCAGGATGATGGAGGATGACAGGCCAGCATCAGGAATAGCAGGCAACCAATGCAGATTGCAGGACCACAGACAGAATGTTGAGAGGTTTCTAAAATTGATGAATCAGAAAACAGCAATATGACTTATTATTTAGAAATATGGAGATGCATAAATGTCAGAAAAGTCAGAAAATTTCAAAAGTGCCTGGCTCTGCTCTTGTGACTAGCAGGGCAGGGAAATACTGTTTTAGTACTATTTGATGTTTTAAACAATGTGCATGTATTAGCTCGACTCAAAAATAATACACCTGTGGTATGGTTACAAGGGCAATTTTTAAAAGTGAAATGTTAATAGTGATTATCATTAGCGCTATGAGTAATCTTTCTTCTTTCTGCTTTTCTCTGCTTTCACTTATTTCTATTGTGAGTATGTATTACATTCTAATGCAAAGAATAAGATAAACTTTGTTTTAAATAACAATATAAAACATCTGCCCATTCAAAAAGTAAATAAAAAATTCTTCCATTCTGTCCTCCTCCAACTTTCTTTGTCAGCTTCAACTAGGCTGCAGAGTCAGAAAAAAACTGTTTTCAGTGAGGCAAAGTAGATGAGAGAAACATCTTCGCTATCCCCAGACA